AAAATGCCAAAAGCATTGTTGGTTTGTATTTTCTTGTCGAATCTAAATGTAAAATTTACTAACGATCCTATCCTGTAGGCTTGTCTCAGAAGCCGCCGACTACATCGCCTAAATCATAAAATAGGGACTGCTTTCTGGATTGATAATTAAAGACTATTGTAAACCGGGAAATATATTCGCCTAAAAAATTTTCTACTATTTGGATTCTTATCTACGGTTTTGATTCTGGCGTAAAACAAATCTATGTTAACCATGTTGACTCTAGTGTAAATCAGACTGATATACTCATTTTTGACTCTGGAGAAAACCGCACCTGTATTTACCCTTTTGATTCCAGTTCAGGGCTGGTCTATGTCAGCCGTCGACTCTAGTCAAAAACTGTATCTATACCAACCTTTTTGATTCTAGTCTAAAACCAGAGCTATGTCTACCATTTTAACTCTTGTCTAAACCGGACACATGTCTGCCGTTTTGACTCTAGTCTAAAAGTAGTCCTCTGTCTACCTTTCTTTTTACTCGTGTAAAATGGCATGAAATAAGCCGATGGAGGTTTATATGCCGATAAATTAACTAAACTAAATTTAAGCCAGCTGAAATCACTCTAAGGGCCATTTTTGTTCAATGGTGGCAAATCGGGGTTTACTAATTATTACCAGCTGTATCGTAATATTATACTCTCTCTGTTTTTAACAGCCGGAGCACACCCGTCATAAAGGATTTTCTCTACCGCTATTTCAAGGTCGGGGTCACACACACACACACACACACAAAAAATACACACACACTTTCTCTCTTTAGGAATCTGCTCTTATTTCATGTTTCTGACTAATTCTCCCCTTCTTTATCTTTTCGCAGGTAATATTTTGCAAAAAGAAAAAAATAAAATAAAAAAAATACGAGCGAAGTTTTGAATACAGATTTAACCCAATTTTCGTTATTTTTTTAATTATTTGAAATCGTTGATGGGTGTTTTCAATTCTATGATGCTAAGAGAAAGAAATGTGGTTTTGTATTTTCAGCTGGGAAGCATACAGATCTGATCTGTTCAACATCGCTTGTAACAGAGTTCTGAGTATAATCATCAAAGATTCTGCTAAGAGAAAAATACAATTTTGCTCTTTTCGACTCATCAGTTGGCAACCACCAGGGTTCTTAATTCCAAAAAAACAGCCGACTGACTTGACGAAGGTTCTTTCGTTTACAAGAGGATTTCCGGGAAATGGATCAATACATATTAGTTGTTAACTATGAATACCATCTTTCATCAACTCACACAACAATGGGTCGTTTATATTAGTTATTGTTTGTAGCATACCTAGGGACAATAATGTCCCCGTTCACATAAATACAGTAGTAAATACTGTATGTTGGTCTACAGTTGGAGATTCGTCTCTAGCTGCGTTGGTCAGACTCTCTGCCTCTGGGCAGAAAGTACCCCCAGACGAGGCAATGTCGAAGGGCGGAGTCACATCTTGGGAAAGAGCTACCGGACTCCGTTTTATACGCGGTCTACGGGGAATTTTGTCCGAGTCTACGGACTCGGATACTTCACATTAAATTCAGCCTTGTGCCACATCTGACCGCATGGGACGGTAGGTAGATATCCTGCAGATGGAGATTCGTCTCCAGCTGTGCTGATCAAATTCTCTGTCTCCGGACAGAGAAGATCCCCAGACGAGGCTATGTCGAAGTGCAGAGTCTCGTCTCGGAAAACAGGTACCTGACCCCGTTTTATACGGGGTCTAAGGGGAATTTTTGGCCGACCTTACTGGCTTAGATAACCCACATTAAATTCGGCTTTGTGCCACATCTGACCGCGTGGGGCGTTTGCTAGATATGTTGCAAGTGGAGATTCATCGTGGAATTCACTTGACTCACTTTTAGCAGTTGACTACTACTTCTACGCGCCGCTGGCGGATCTTATATGTGTTGTTCTTGTCCTAAGTATTAGCGTTCATTAACAATCATCGTTTGTTCATTATATTCAGTAACTTTCCCTAAGTTACCACAGTTATATTGTCCTCTATTTGGATACTTACCCTTTCTGAATGAATCACCAATTGACTTCACTTGTTTGAAATTATTGGCCAATGTTATTTTTTCTTATTTTAGAAAATTTATTAATTCTTATTATTCATCCTACAAGCTAGTTATTCTTTAATTTCTAAAATGATGAAGCTGCATTTCTACATATATAAGATGCAATAAGATGCGTCTGTATCAAATTTCCACGTCAATAAAAGAGTCCACTACATAGGCATGAGCAAGTTTGTGTCTTCTATTGTAGACAAATAAGAATAACTATGTCTATTTCTTTCTTCCTCTCTATCTACCTATCTATTCCTGTTACATTCTGATCATATCTATCTATCTATCTATCTATCTATCTATCTATCTATCTATCTATCAAACTTCTGTTTATATCTATCTATGCTTCATAGTATTAATATATATCTCATTTTTAACCATCTATCTATCTATATGGTTTTCTCTGATGTGATAACGGTTATTACTGATATAATCCATCAAACTTTAGATAAGAATGGGGAAGCGTGAACCGTTGCTTTGGATATCTCGAAAGCAATTGACAGGTTTTAGCATATTGGTATTCTTCACAAGTTTAAAGTTTATAGTATTTCTGCACAGATTTTTGAACTGATTCACTTTTACTTATCGACTAGTGAAATGAAAGTTGTCTTGAATGACCATTCTTCTAGATCTTTTTGCATTAATACAGGAATCCACCAAGGCTCTATCCTTGGACCTACAATGTAGCTAATTTTCATCAACAACTTTCCTTACTGAATCAGTCCTTAAATCGGTATCTATGTTGTTGACACAACCATTTATTCCATTTTTAACAGTAAGTCTGAGCGGTTCGAAAAGATCAAATTGGCAGCTGGACTAAAATAGGATCTACATTATGTTGTTAACTGGGGCAAGGAATGGCTTGTAAATTTTAAAACCTCCAAAGCGAAACAGCTCTCTTTTCATCGTCTGAGAGAACCCTTTTTAATTTCCATCAACATAGCCGATGCCAACCTCCAATTTTTCTCACCAGAATCGGTCTTATATATTTATTCGTCCATGTTTTAAATATTGCTGCCACATCTGGTCTGGTGTACCTTTTATATATTTAGAGATTCTTGATGAAATCCAAAGAAGAATCTGCAATGTTATTGATCCTGATCTAGCATCTTGGCTTTTCTCATATGCTTAACGTAGATTCTCTCTGCCTTTTCTATAAATACTTTCATGGTAATTGTTCTGATGAATTCACTTCTCTGGTAACCAGACTTTATGAATTTAAGTGCAGTACTTAATTGATGATCGGTATCATCATTTTACAGTTGAAATGGCTAGATGTAACCGTGAGTTCTATGCTAAGAGTTTCTTTTATCGCACTTATAGCTTCTGGAAATCTCTTCCGGCTCTGTGCTGTCCAGTCAACTTTGATCTTCAAAAATTGCAATATCAATCGTGATCTTCTGTTTTCCTAAATTCCTGTTCTTTTACTGCCCTTCTTGCTTATGGAACTATTTTCTGGCTTCTTGCTTCCCAGTCAACTTTGATCTTCAAAAATTGCAATATCAATCGTGATCTTCTGTTTTCCTAAATTCCTGTTCTTTTATTGCCCTTCTTGCTTATGGAACTATTTTCTGGCTTCTTGCTTCCCAGTCAACTTTGATCTTCAAAAATTGCAATATCAATCGTGATCTTCTGTTTTCCTAAATTCCTGTTCTTTTACTGCTATTCTTGCTTATGGAACTATTTTCTGGCTTCTTGCTTCCCAGTCAACTTTGATCTTCAAACATTGCAATATCAATCGTGATCTTCTGTTTTCCTAAATTCCTGTTCTTTTACTGCTCTTCTTGCTTATGGAACTATTTTCTGGCTTCTTGCTTCCCAGTCAACTTTGATCTTCAAAAATTGCAATATCAATCGTGATCTTCTGTTTTCCTAAATTCCTGTTCTTTTATTGCCCTTCTTGCTTATGGAACTATTTTCTGGCTTCTTGCTTCCCAGTCAACTTTGATCTTCAAAAATTGCAATATCAATCGTGATCTTCTGTTTTCCTAAATTCCTGTTCTTTTATTGCCCTTCTTGCTTATGGAACTATTTTCTGGCTTCTTGCTTCCCAGTCAACTTTGATCTTCAAAAATTGCAATATCAATCGTGATCTTCTGTTTTCCTAAATTCCTGTTCTTTTTCTTGCCTATTTTCTGGCTTCTTGCTTCCCAGTCAACTTTGATCTTCAAAATTGAACAATCGTGATTTTCTAAATTCTTTCTTTTATTGCCCTTCTTGCTTATGGAACTATTTTCTGGCTTTTGAGTCAACTTTGATCTTCAAAATTGCAATATCAATCGTGATCTTCTGTTTTCCTAAATTCCTGTTCTTTTATTGCCCTTCTTGCTTATGGAACTATTTTCTGGCTTCTTGCTTCCCAGTCAACTTTGATCTTCAAAATTGCAATATCAATCGTGATCTTCTGTTTTCCTAAATTCCTGTTCTTTTTTTATTGCCCTTCTTGCTTATGGAACTATTTTCTGGCTTCTTTGCTTCCCAGTCAACTTTGATCTTCAAAAATTGCAATATCAATCGTGATCTTCTGTTTTCCTAAATTCCTGTTCTTTTATTGCCCTTCTTGCTTATGGAACTATTTTCTGGCTTCTTGCTTCCCAGTCAACTTTGATCTTCAAAAATTGCAATATCAATCGTGATCTTCTGTTTTCCTAAATTCCTGTTCTTTTATTGCCCTTCTTGCTTATGGAACTATTTTCTGGCTTCTTGCTTCCCAGTCAACTTTGATCTTCAAACATTGCAATATCAATCGTGATCTTCTGTTTTCCTAAATTCCTGTTCTTTTATTGCCCTTCTTGCTTATGGAACTATTTTCTGGCTTCTTGCTTCCCAGTCAACTTTTGATCTTCAAAATTGCAATATCAATCGTGATCTTCTGTTTTCCTAAATTCCTGTTCTTTTATTGCCCTTCTTGCTTATGGAACTATTTTCTGGCTTCTTGCTTCCCAGTCAACTTTGATCTTCAAAAATTGCAGTATCAATCGTGATCTTCTGTTTTCCTAAATTCCTGTTCTTTTATTGCCCTTCTTGCTTATGGAACTATTTTCTGGCTTCTTGCTTACCAGTCAACTTTGATCTTCAAAAATTGCAATGTCATTCGTTATCTTCTGTCTTCTTAATTCCTGTTCTTTCATTGTTCTCTCTCCATAACAGCATTTTTCTCAGACTTTCTAACATTCAGTAACATCTTGCGTCTTAGTGGCCTTATTGCTTTGCTTGGGGTGAAATGATTAAAAAAAATCTATCTATCTATCTATCTATCTATCTATCTATCTCTATCTACGCTTCATAGTTTTCATATATATCTCATTCTGTCTACAGCTATCTGTCTACCAAACTGTCACCTGTATACAGACCCTTTCTAAATGGTTAAACATCGATTTGAGCGAGGGAATTTAGTGGATCTTGTCGAAGATCACACCTTTTCGAACCTTGTGGACTGGTTCCATAGAATCACAATCAACTGTACCGAATAACAGGAACCACACCATTTGAGGACTTCCAAAAACAGATGTTGGCATTCCACTTCAAATATAAGGCTAGGAAGGAACCCCCCATCAATACTGGAAAGAGCGATAACAGCTACTGAACTTGAGAAACCTATTTTCCTGAAAAATTATTTTAAGAGTAAGATTTTCACAATTTCAACACCGGCTGCTTGATCAATGAATGTCGAATGTTTCCTTATAAAGAAACGGCTATTAATAACCATCAACATTATCATCTATCTGTCATATTCTGTTAATAGCTACCTGTTTATCTCATGAGTAAAAATGGAAAGAACTCATGCACATATACACTTCAACTAAATTATTTTTCTTGTTCATCGAAATCAGAATATTAAAAAATATAATGTACACCTTATACAAGGCTCAAGAACCTCTCGAGTTAGAGTGTTACTGTGTCAGAAACACAGTTTATGTGAATATGTATTGAAGATAACGGTTAATCCTTGACTTGAATAGATTAATATTGCAGTGATCGGGGAAGCATCCTCTTGGGAGTCGGTTCCACAAAGCAGTGGTTGGTGGGAAGAAGCTGCTCAAGTGGAACTTATATCTTACCAATGGAATACGAAGTGGATGAGGTTGGTTCGCTACATTGTTCTTTGCATGGTAGGTCTTAGTCGTGAACGTTAGCACTGGTGGAACAAAGGAATGTAGTTCGCTTGAAAACTTTCTATGGTAATGACAATAGGGCAGCGAGCGACTTGCGAAGTTTCGTCTGGGGGAAAGCGGTTGTAGGGTGGGAAATAGTTCATCACCCCCAAGGACGTGGAGATGCTTTTGATTTTTTTATGGGGGAAGTGAAGACTATTAAATATGGGGAAGTTTTTATTCTAGTCTAAAACCGGACTGCACGTTTGAGCTCCTGTTCATATATTTAGACTAAAACCGCCGTTGGCCTCACGTTTGGACTTTAGACTAAACCATTTGTTTTTGGATTCTAAACCGACCTGTCTAAAGACCGGACCTGTGCCTCACTTTAGACTTTTTGACTTTAGACTAAAACCGGACCTATAACAACCCGTTTTTTGACACCACGTTTGACTAGATAAAACCGACCTATAACCGTCCTAACTCTTGTCTAAACGGAACCATGTCTACTGTTTCTATGGAAATATCAACAGAAGAGCAAGAGGCTTGCAAATTTTCGTCCGTGAGGAAATAGTTCATCGCCCACAAGGACGTGAGTTGCTTTTGGATTCTATTAAGACCAGGCAGCAGTACACCATTTTAGGCTTGATCTGTCTCTTGTAAAGGTATTGGAAATCAGGAGGAGTGAAGTACTTACTTGAGTGATACAGAAAACCGACCTTATTTCCAGCATCTTTAGCGATGGTTCGTATGCAGAAGTTCCACTTCAAGTGTGGGTTGTGTCTGAGTGCTAATAGTCGCTTAAGGTACTGAGCCTCTCCGAGAGAATGAATTCGCAATTGGTGAAAATACAGGATCCGTTCGGTGAAGATGATTGAGAATTGGGAATAAATGTTTTCTTCATAAACTGATTTGTTTTAAATAGTTGTTTGTTTGTCCTTTTAGATGCAAAGAATCTCGACAGAGTGAAGCATTCATTCCGTGTGCATTGGCCCTGTTGCGCATCCAGTGGCTTGATATGTGGACACAGTACCACTTATGGATGAAGGTAAGTAAGCTCTCCACTATGTCATGATTATAAGTCTACCATTTGTCCATGATTAAAACATTGCTGTAACATATGGTCCGGTACCCCTTGTATTTATCTTGTATTTAGTTTAATGTTAATAGAGAAAGAGACCGTCCTTTTCTACATATGCCCAGTTTGGTTTTGTGCCAAATTTTCTGTATTGAAGCTATGGTACCTAGACTTTTTAAATTTATGCGTAGTACTTTATTTCGCACACTGGAGTGGACTGTTCTAGTTCCACGTCCATGT